AGTAATCCGTCCGAAAGCGGAAAGCTCCTCTTAAAGATCATTTCCAATCGTGGTCCTGGCACAGCTTTTATCTCCCAGTTGGACTCGAACCGGCAACCTTGCGATTGTGACCCCGGAGCGCTAACCACTGCGCTATCGACCCAGAGGTCATGCCAACTAACTTTGAGTTTAGATACGTATAAAGTATATCATCGATTACCGCATTATTGTAGTATGGCAATAAAAACTTGATTTATTGATCTAAAATACCAATATACAAATAAATAATAAATTTGTTTAAGTATAATAAATCGGATATATTACTTACCATCGGAGATTTCATCAATAAGTATACTAAAACTATAAATTAAATCCAATTTAAGAAAATAAATATTGTTACCTGCATTTACTATATTGGCAGATTCGGAAATTTTTACAATTAATAACATATTACTGATTTTATTTTTAAAAAATAAATAAATGTCATTACCTGGTTTAGAGAGTTTTGAAAGATTCAATGATCGACTTGTATAAATAGCTTGTGGATGTGTCTGGTATTTAACTTGATCATATGTTAAGAAGTTTTTGTCAACTTGCTTATTTAATTCAGTTTCTTCTTTTTTTTCAAATCTTCGAAAAAACAATACAGCTTATTAGATAATTCCTCAGCAGTTGGTCTGTTTTGAGGTTCTTCGTCTATGCATTTATTCATCAAATCTAAAAGTAGTTGGAACTTCGCATCTAATTTTGGGTCTATAACCTAGACAAATACGCATTGCTAGATCTTCATTGTGTGGAATATCATGATATGGAGGATATCCGGTAAAAACTTCCGACATAATTATTCCGAAAGAATAAATATCTGATTTTTAAGTATATTCCTTTCCATTTGTGCATAATACTTCTGGAGCAATATATGGAATCACACCAAAAAGTTCCTTCGAATTTGAGTCTTTTGATTAGGGATGTCAACGGTCGGTCACGGTCGGTTTCGGTCGGTCATCATCGGTCATGAGTCATGACCGAACCGACCGCGGTCATGACCGATGGGTAATTTAAAATTTTAATATCCAACATTATTTAATTAATATTAGTTAATTTTAAGTTACCGCATTCTACCGTAATAAGCACTATCCCTTCTGCCTATTTTATTAAATGTCAGATTAGTGGAAACAACTTTGTTAACTATCTCATTGTGATTTCCGCTAATCTGACATTTTAAAAAATGAGGTAGAGGAAATGGTTCTTATATACGATAGAATACGATAAAGCTTTTTTTGATTTAGAGTTAATAAGCTAATGCGGAATAAATTTGTATTTAAATTATATAATCTGTAATAATATAATATATAGTTAATAATGTAATATGTTTTATAGAATAAATTCAATTCAATAATAGAGATTGAAAGAAATATAAATGTAATAAATATACATATGATAAAATTGTTGTCAATCATTATTTCCAAGTATAATCGATATACGATATATGAATATTTATTAAATAGCATTTAACTAATTGGTTAAAGTTGTATATAACAATAAGTTCAGCACAATACTTATAATCAAACCTATTTTTGTATCATGATAATTATTTTACAGATCGTTACAATGATAAATATCAAAATATAGTATCGGTCAAACGGTCGGTTCGGTCGGTCAGGATTTGTGACCGAACTGGTATCGGTCACGGTCATGACCGGTCATGACCGAACCTTTGACATCCCTACTTTTGATACTGGGCTACAAAAGCCAAAATCAGTAATGTAAGAACTGTACATATTTTGATTAGCTATATTTCCGGAATGTAAATCTTTATGCACTAAATTGGCTTCGTGAATTGTATTAAGCCCACTAGCTATATAATATAAGTTAGCTACTTTAGAAGCCCAATTTAATTCATCATATTTGCTATCTAACAATTTTCTGAGACTTCCCTGCTTTGCATATTCCATAATCATCATGTATTTACCGTCTTTTGGGCTCTTGGTTATTCCATAAATCTCAATTGCCGAATTGCCCCCATGTTTATGTTGATTTTTAACCTACAATATTGATTAGAATAAATAAGATTACTGCACTCTAATAATAATAAATTAGAATGCTTACTTCTTCTAAAAATTCTTGCTTTATATCTTTAGAATTATCAAGGTCTTTTAAACAGATATCTATTTGTGCTCTTCGTTCCCATATATCCTTTTGATAATCAAACCCTATAATATATCCGTCAATCCATACTGCCTTAAAAACAGTGCCAAAGCCTCCTTTAGCAAGATACTTTATATTTGCGAATTTGCTAAAGGGTATCCATTCAATAATGTCTTTAAGCTTCCTTGCATTAAGTTGTATTTGTTGAATTAATTGATCAATGTCGTGATTATCACTTGTCTAATTACAAAATTCTTTTTTAAAACCTTATAATTTTCTGAAAAATAATTTGAATCCAAAAATTTTTTCTTTTTTCATCGGCGTGGTGAAGATCGTTTCGATCGTTTCTTTAAAAGTATAGGACAATCAAATTGTTCTTTTATATAGGACAATCAAATTGTTCTTTTATTATTGGTCACATATTTACTCGTGATCCGCCAAATTTCCTTTTAAGCTAAAACGGAAAAGATTTTCATCAAACATTTTATATGTTCTATGGTTGTACAGATCCTGAAGGACAAATAAATTTTTAAGATTATATATAACATGCATGAACTGAAAGATTCAAAGCAATTCGGATTGCAATACTCTAAATTATGATTTACTAATATTTACAGCTTTTATCATTATTTCTGGAACACCTTGTGAAAAATTAACCAATTATTCTGCCGATTTGATAAGTCATTGATTTCGGCATGACTAACGTAACATTTATTATTTACAAAGATGATCTAAAACCATGTACGTACGTACTAGAGTGGTAACTCAACTAAGTAAATCAAAACTATGTAAGCAAACTAATGAAATTTGATATACGTATTACAGAATTTATGTTACGCGAGTGAAAATCAATTCAATGTCTATAAGATTAATTACTATATATGTCATATATATTTATTAAAATAACTTTTCTCAAGTAACTTATTAAAGGTTAGAGAATAAAGTTACGCTTTCGGATTTTCTATTAACATATAAATTTGAACATTATTTTATAGATAAATTAAATTTCATTAATTAAGGAGAAGTCAAAACTTTAATAAAATTTTTGCAAATCGAGCGTAACTTTTTAGAGATGACATTTGTGAAGAGTTTTCAATTAAAAGAAATTAGAAAAATAAGTGTAATGTCAAGATGTGTTCTTTAGAAATTGTGCGTGATTTATAAATTAAATATATATCAGCATGATATTTAATCGTTTATTTTAATTTCACTGATTAAAATCTGACAATAGTTAAATTACCAATATTGCTGATATAGGTTTGATTTGGGTATATAGTAAATTAGTACGGTACGGAAACGCAAATTGGGACGGACATGTGGAAATCATGATAGTACGTACGATTTGTAAAAGAAAAAATTCTTCCAAAGCAAAGCTAATTTTCCTATAATATCACACGAAAAAGAACAATGCTCTCACTTTCCTAACCATAAACATTAAAGGATTAGGCCTCCTCTTTCATTTGGCATGAGGATGTGACGAATCATTGGCGTGGCGAGTAAGCACTAACTAAATAATTATATTAACTAATGCTTATTAGCCACACCCAATGATTCGTCACATCATTGTGCCAAATGGATAATAGACTTATAAAATCGCTATGTTAACCGTACGTATTATCAAAATTTTGCTCAATTTTCGTACGTCTGTACATATTTGTACAATCGTACAGTACTACTTTGCTAACTACCTCTAATTGCGAAGGCTATATGTCCAATAAAATTAAAAACAATTGGACATAGTAACCCTTATAACACTAAGCCAACACGCTACAAGAACCAACCAATGTTACCAAAGTTAAATGTTAAACCCGGAACTTTTGTTACTAAAGACTTTAAGGCCTTTTCAAATTAAACAGTTGCAATAAATGTTTACTTAAATTTAACATAGCAAACTAGTCTTAGACGAAAACATTTACAGTTACCTTAATTTCTAATGGTATACTAGACGATCATATATTTTGTCTTCTAAGTAGATTCTGTGGGAAGTATGATTCCTTTTTTTATTTTTTAGAAGAGTAAATGCTAACACATAACTATCATTTTATTCAGAAATATATACTTTATAATGTTACACCTGAACCACTTCTTATAAGCAGGTATAACTAATTTACTTTAGGGACATAAATTTTGTTAGAGTAATAACAAATGACTTGTTTATGCTCAGTAAAACATGGTTTATTACAGTTACTGTACGTGTTAAGGATTAAAGTAATTTTTAATCATAAAGAGACAACGGCTAAATAAATATGAAGATACAAATAGTTGTATAGCACGTGTATTATTTATTAGCTATTCATACATGAAGATACGATTGATGATTCTCAGAGATTTTATGCATTTTAAATATTATGATATTATGATCAATGGCTATTACATTTATCAACTACATTATATCTATTCTATATAATAAAGATAAATGATATAATAGAACTAATATATTTAATGAGATAATTCAATAAAATATATGTAATAACATAGGGTCTAATCATTTTTCGCAGGTAAACTCTTGCAAGGAATTTTTTCCCGAAAGATAGCTGCATATAAGCTTCATGATCGTGTAACGTTACACCTGACCTTACGATCTAATTGGTTGATCAGGCACATGCCTAGATTATATCCCTAACATATATATTTAAAAGAAATATTTGCACTGCAATATTCACTTTTTTAAAAAATTTATACATATTGCAAAACAACTATGTTGTTTTTTGACTTTGAGAATGAATCATGTCACTTGATAATTGACCTAGTAAAAATTGATTATTTTTAGTCATATGGTGATTTTTTTCTTTACAACTTTCGATCCAATTAACTATTAATGCACTGTCGACATATGCATATAATTGTGATATCTAAAACAATTTAGCAACAACAAATGAATAGATTACATTATTATTATAAAGAGTAAAGTAATATAATTGATATAATTATACATTCAACGTTATTCTGCACTGCGATCTATTAAAACAATAGTAAATTTAAAATTAGCGATTGAATTGGAGTGTAATAAACTTACTGCTACGTCAAGTGCGCACATACTAACTATCCATGTTACATACTAACTATCCATGTTACATATTTAGAAATCACAGCCAACAGCGACATGCAAGATTTCGTAGACGAACATTTCTAACATTCTTACGGAAAACACCGTTCTTGGGCGCTCTCGTGTAACATACAATCAATCACGAGTCACAGGACCAAATTATAACCGGCCTTTTGTTTGGATAGCAGGCAATGATATTTCAACAACCAGAGATAAAGGAAAGAAAATAAATATAAAAATGCAAGAAATAAATGTCTAAATCTGCCTCATAACACTAATAAATAATGTCAGGAAAAGAACTTTTAACACCTAACCTTTATACGTATTATTAACATCCTTCCAAATAAGGAAATTTAAAACCAGTTCGGTAATTGAGTAAAATATATCCAAATGCAGTAAAAATCTTCAGTGACCGGCAATTCATTACTCCGTATTTTCTTCTTTCGTTTAGCGTTAGCATTTTATTCATGCGTAATCAATACATTTGTATAAATAATTATGCAAGATAAACATATAAAATATCCACATACTCCTCAACAATCAATTTTGCTGAAATCCATTAAAAATTAACAAAATTAAAATGTTTTTAAAAAATCTACTTTCGTTAATTTGGTATTTTGTCATATTTATTACCCTTTTGATAAATCTGTCTCTTGGATCTGAAATTTTGATTAAACGTGACTTATCGCTTAACAGAAATAATGTACCGAAGAATATACTTGTCACTTCCATGGTTGGAAGTAAGTTTATTAACATCTGTCATTATTTTATTATTATTACTATTCATAATACTTATAATTCATTTGCAATAATTACAGAAACTCATCTTCGTCATATGTTAGAAATTTGCTTGATTTTAATCGATCGAGGATATAATGTATTATTTTGTTATTTATTATAATTTATATATAATTTCTCCCTCATTTGTTTAAATCTCTAGGTAACATTGATAGCTCCAGGAAACTATACTGCTAAATCCAATTCTTATCGATCAATTCCACAAATTATTTTTGAGAATGAACCCCTTGGCCTTGACAATAAATCTTCTGAAATAAATAAGGCTTTCCTTGATGATGATTATACAAGGTTATCTTCCGTTGTAAAAAAAGTTGCCATTCTATCTTACGTATCTTTTTATAATATCTATAAACAAGTTGCCGAAGAGATCAATGTTGATTTATTTTTTTGTGACTATGTAATGAATTATCCGTGCTTTGATCTCGCTTGGAAATTGGGAAAGCCCGTTGTTGGAAGTTCCACTGATCATTCTTATTGTAAGTTCTCATTAATAATGTTTACTTTGAAATTTTTATCCTATAAAAAAATATCTAAACAACATTTCCCTTTTAACAGTACCTCATCCGCCATATTTATCGGATCCTATATATGGTTGCCATGTAAATATGGAAAATGAATCTTTCTATAACAGATTTAAATGTGCGATCATAATACCTTTAAAACATGCCTGGAGCGCAAGGGATACTATAAAGGGTATTAATGCTCAAAGAGCACTTGTAGATATAGATCCATTTTGGGACATAAGAGGACGCATATCAAGTCTTTTAATGTTGTCCAATAATTTTTTTGGATTTGAGGTAATTACAGAATTAATTCATGATTATCATTAATTCATTAGGATATTTTATGTCTAATAATATATTATTCTTAATTTTAATTCCCATTATTATTATTGTTATTATTGTTATCACATAGATACCAAGAGCTGACACACCACTCCATCAAGAAATTGGTCCTGTTCTACCTGACACTTTCCCAGGTCTAACACCAGCTCTTGATTCATTTCTTGCTGCTCATCCTCGAACACTGTACTTTGCACTTGGAACTCTTGCTATCATGCCTCCTCAAAGTGTTATCTCCCTTTTAACATCTTTTCTTGAATTAATTGAACAAGACGTAATTGATGGTGTTATATGGTCTACTGTAAAAACGAATATCTCGGATTCTTTTCAATTAGCTAATTCTAATTCCCTGTTATTTAACATATTAAATAACATTCATCCTCATTTTCATATCTGTAAATATTCTCCTCAATTCGCTATACTATCTCATGAAAATACTAAACTATTTTTAAGTCATGGTGGTGCCGCTAGTTGTCACGAATCTATGTATACCGCTACTCCAATGCTCGTGCTTCCTATGATGAGTGATCAATTTAGAAATGCTGAAAAATTAGAATTGGCTGGTATAGCTTTAAAAATTTCAAAAACGAATTTAAATGTTGATGATATAATATTGAAAGTTAAAAGGTTATTATTTGATCAAAGTTTTAAAAAAAATGCTGAAAGATTACAATTTTTGGCTAAAGTTAATAGTAAAAGGAAATATAGAGCTGCTGATTTAATTGAAATAGTCTTGAATACTGTAAAATATGAAGGTATTGAAGATGATAATGGTAAATTTAAAATTAATAATGAAAATTTATTGAGAGATTGGATTACTCCTGATTCGAGAATGGGTTTTATTAGAGGAACATATTTGGATGTTTATGCTGTCGCTATTATTCTCTTTTTGACCTTAAGTGGTGGTTTTGTTTATGCTTTGTGGAAAATTACTATATACTTTTATATTAAATATAGAGGGGAAAATGGAAATTCTCAAAGACATTTAAAGCATAAAGAAGAGTAGCTGAATGTACGTTAAAGTTAATACTGTATATTTTTATCATACATTATAAATATATATATAGTTAAAATAAAATTTTTGCTTTTTTACATTTTTATTTGCAGTCTACTTTATTTGTTATTTTCATAGTAGAACTATTCAAAATTAAATAGCTAGTTTATTTTTTTTCTTTCTGACCCAAATAAAGAAATTTTTCTCAACAAATACGCCATAGTGTACTTATTTTTAGATAGGCTCAATTGTTCTTTATGTTGTTTTTATTTGAAATTATATTTCTGATAGTGAATTGTTACTATATATTTATTAACTAATATTGATTTCCAAACATGTTTAACTACTACTTTTTTTTCTTTTTTCTAGATTGGTTTATTTGTTTTTTATAACATTTCTTTATTTGACATTATATTTTCAACTTTGAGTTGCTACTATATATTTGTTAATTAATAAGGTGGTTTCAAAGTTAAAATCGGAAATCTAATTTTAATTGAAGTTGGTTACAGGTTTATTTTCAAATAAGAGATGTATCAACTTTATTTCATTTTTTGATAAATTTGTAATAATGATTTTTATTATTGAAAGGTCTGTTATTTCATTAAATGGGATCTTAAGACACCCACATTTCATTTTCTTATTTTAAAGTTTTGAATTTCAAATAAGATTTTTTCAAACTTTCATTTAATTATAAAATGCGCCACTCATTTGTTAACTTTGAAACCCCTAATATTAATTTTCAAACATGTTTAGCTACTGCATGTTTTTCTTTCTAGATAGATTTTAGTTATTTTTTATATCATTTTTTCTTTAAAATTATGTTTCAACTTTGAGTTGCTATCTACTTGTTAGTCAATATTGATTTTCAAATATATTTTCTATGGCTTTTTCTTTCTTTTAAATAGATTTTAGTTATTTTTATATTATTTCTTTATTTGAAATTATTTTAAACTTTAGGTTATTGCTATATATTTGTTAATTTATATTGATTACTGAACATGTTTACCTACTTCTTTCTTCGTTTTTAAAATATATTTTAGAGTTTCAGATTTTTTTTCTTTATTATTTTATTTTGAAATTATGTTTTTTGGTTTGATTTTTTATTATTATTTGTAGACTGTTAATTATAGTTTAGTTAGTAGTAAATTAAAAGAACTGCTATTTGCTTTATAGACTTTTGCTATTCGCATTATGGAATGTAGACCATGACCAGAATTAGTTAGAGTTAGGAATACAAATAGTAATTTTTTAAAGCAAATATATTTATTATATAATTTGAAATATTTTTATATATGACTAGTAAATATCCGTCACTGACGGGGTTTTATTTTTAAAAATTTAATTAAATTCGTGACTCTATTGTATAAAGTATGAGGAATGAGTGGTTGATAATAGTCAGTAGAGAGTATGGTTGTCAGATTTCTAATTTACGTTAAATTTTCGTGTAACATTGTTTTCATATAGTCAGCCATCAATATAAATAATGAAAATTGATATTTTAAAAAAAATTACAATCTTAACTTTCGCAGAAAATATGGCAATAGATTTTAAAGTATGAAAAATTTTTAATAGGTAAAAGAAGCTTCAAAATTATCAAGAAATGAGCTGTGAAGCTAAGGTATTAATTTTTTTAAAAAAAGTCAATTTGCTTTATTGTTATTGACGGCTGCTAAAGTACTTTGTAAGAAATGTGATTATATGTTCATATGATTGTTTGGATCATATGTATATCGATTTGGGAGTGAACTTTATTCAGAATGTATTGTAGTTCAATAATGCTAATTAAGGTTTTCGTAGTGCCGGTACTATATATTACATGTGCGAAATTTACACAAAATTATGTTACTGAAAATTATATGTATTGTAAGTTTGTAAAATTTAATTTTATTGCTAATAGAAAGGAGTTTTGTTTTACTGTGGCGAATTAAAAAAAATATAAATGATATAGAAATATGCATGCTCAATTTGTTTGTGAATACGGGCGAAAGTCTTTATAAGTCTTTATTTATTTGATTAGTAAAATTTATACAACGTTTTATTAAAGTTTAATTAATTATTTATATGGTACAGAACATTAGTAAAAGATATGGTATAAAGGGTAATAAATAATTTTCAAAATTGATATAAGGTGGTGGTTTTGATTTAAACAATGATAAGCTTGAAATTATAAGTTTTTATTCATGTAAAATAGATATAAAAACATTGAAATTAATTTAAAAGATACAAAATACAATAATGAAGGTTTACTTATAAAATCAGGCTTCATGAATTTTTGAGAAAAGTGATGTAAGTAAAGAAAAAGAAATTTAAATAAGAGTACCTTCTATATAACTAAATTTGTTAAAGTAAATGAAGCTTTAGTAAGAAGATTTTTAAGAAAAGATTAGTATAAAAGGGTTATAACAGAAAAAGAGAAAATTAAAAATAAAAACTTTTCTAATAGTGATTTATTTGTAAAGCAAAAGCTATAAAATAAGTAGAACAGTAAAACTAAGAATGAAATAGATTAGTAATTAATTTAAATAAATCAATAAATAATTAATTAAAAAAATATTAGTTAATTAAAGCAAAAAAAAACAGTAATCAAATAAGTATAGAAGAAATAAGTAAAAATGTGTAAAATACTTATGATAAAAAAATAATTTGAATGTTATATTTTTAAATATACAATATATATTTATTTTTATATTAAGGTAATCTTTTGAGTCTGCTATTCACATAGTAACAACCCAGAATAAGTATACAACTAGTTATATGTATAACATATTACCTATTTAAGAAGTTTTCCTATTTGGATATTTTATTTTAGGCTTTTATATTTTGATCTCTTGTACTAATATTATTAGATCTTTGAAGTTTATTTTTTTTTATATCTAGATTATTATAACTAATCTTAAAACATATTATTCTTGAAGTATTAGTTTTTATAATATTAATTTTATTATAACTATCTATAATCAAAGTACTACATTAATTCAATATTATGTAATATCTTGATTATAAAATATGTAGTAATAACACAGTAATGTATGATTGAATTATAAAAAGCTGATTATTTTTTAAACCAGCTTGAAGATTTTTAAAAAGAAAATTTAACTAAAATTGCAGATAACTTTAATAAATTTATATTTATAATTTAGGTTAAAATAAAAACTATGTATCTGATTATTTTTTTGATTAGAATTTGTATGACTCAGACTAAATAATCATAACTACAAAGCATGTAATTATTTTTTAAATATTTAATTTTGATATATTATTTTTAAATTAAGGTTACCAAATTTATTATTAAAATAAGTTTAATAAAGTATATAACTTTTAGTTTATATTAGAATGAATAAAAATCATATTTAAAGATTTAAAATAATATAAAATTTTATTTTTTTTATTTTATTTTTTTTTTACTTTAGCAATCATGCTAGTACTTTATTAGAATTCTTGAAACTATACAAATTACATAAAATTTTCCTAATATATAAGTCTAGCATTACTTAGCTACTCAAATAGTACTTAAGTATGACTTGCCACACTATCCTAGTTAGAAATAAACTGCTTGTCTGACTGCTGCCCTACAATAAGACATTACCAATCTAATAACATTTTTTGTAGGAAAGCAAAAAACAAAAAAAAATTTTTTTATATAAAAACAAAACAAAAGTATAGAGGTAAATGATAAAAAATACAAATAGAAATAAAAGAAGAAAAGAAATAAATAATAAAAAAGAAAAGTGTGAAACTTGCAATTCACAAATATCAGAAGGTTACAATTGTATGTCTTAAAATTTTATTAATAAAATATATAAAATTGTATTATAAAATTATATATTTTAATAAGATATATATTTTTTATCAATTGCTTAAAGTTAATTAACTTAATAATAATTTTTTAAAATATAATTTTTGTACTAATAATATTTTTAAATAAAAAGATCTGCAAAGATAATATGAAAATTATTTTATTAAAAATGAACTGAATTTTATAAATATTTATTAGTTAATTTGAAATTTAATATATGAATTATTAAATATTATTTATACTAATTTTATTAGTATTATATAATGTTTTTTTGAGTAAAGTAGTCAAATTAATAAAAATGTATTTGTAAACATTAAAAAAAAAATTCAATATTTTTTTTAAATAAAAAAATGTTATATTTTCATGAATTTTTGATAAAACATTATTAAATTTTTAAAAAAAAAATTTTACAAATAAGTTTTATTAATTATTTTAATACATAGTAGATAAATTAGAAACAAAATAAAAAATAATAATCTTAATTAATTATTTTTTCATTAAGAATAGTTTTTATCTAGAAATACAAGTAAAAAATTACTAATATCTTTATTAAAATAAAATCAAAAAATCTAAATTTAATATACTAATAGAATAATATTTTATTTATATTTTTTTGATATTAAGATAAATCTTTAGTTTTTTTATTTTTTAATTTTATTAACACTTTTGTTAGACACATGTTTATATAAATATATATTTATATTAAATTATTACAAAAAAGTATACAAACCTTTAATACCATCTAACTTAGCAACTAAGTATATATATTTTTATATAAACTATACTTACTCATGCCTCTGTGGCCTTCCAGATCAACTATATACTCACTCTAATACATGCTTTCCTATTGGCCAAGCAATTCGCAAAATTACTATTTGGTTTATTCTATAGATCAAATATAGCATATTATCAAATTATATACTAAACATTCAAATTTAAGTAAGCTTTGACCACTCTAGTAGGTTTAGGTTACAAATAAATTAGTCTGAGCTTTTATTCTTGCATGTAATTTTCAATTTATTTGTTTTGTACAAATAGTAGTAGCTGTATAGTTAGCAGTTTAATGGTTAGCCCTAACTGTAAGTGTTAGTCTTAGCCATAGTATATATACATGTAATTATTTTAAATTATTAATAAAAATATAAGCAAGGCCTCACTTTAATACCAAAAAAAAAAAAAAAAAAAAGTATACAACTGACTATATATATAACTTTTCTATATTATCTATTTAAAGAGTTTGCTTAAAAGTTTTTCACTAGTTATTATATTTAACACTTCTACTGTTAAAGGCAAAACAGGTACCAGAGTTGCTCTAACCCAGTACCACCTTGACTCATGCTCCCTTATAGTAAGAACACCTCTGAAACAAGCAAACGATTGTGCATTGATTGTACCTTGAGAAACTTGGAAGCCAAGCCATCCATCTGAAACAATGCCATAATGATGCAGAAGCAGGTACTATAGCTGTTTGTTGGGATAGATCTGCCAGATTAGGCTAGTTGTTTGTGCTGCATGAGGCCATTCAAGGTCCCGATCGTAATGACAGATCTGAAACCATTGAGTTCAGTGGGAAAATGTTGGATCTTGGGCCCCTGTGCCATTTCTTTTTGTGAGATGCCATTCTTGTATATAAGTGTCTTTTTTTTAGAAGAAGGAAAGAGAGAATTAGGATAGTCAACAATCATATTAATAATAAAAAACTGTCATTAGCAATAAACTAAGACCTTGCACTTATGCCTTAGCTTTGCCAAATTGTTCTGCCTCTTCTGTGGTGCAATGTTTCATGATGTTTGGTATTTTTGAGTAACAATCTGTCGCAATTTTCTTGCTCCTATTATTCCAAATATAAAACCATAAAAAACCAACCACCTTCAACACTACTTAAATATTCTATTTAAACTCTTTAATTTGCAATTCCTTTATATTTTTTATTTTTATTTTTTTTATTTTTAAAAGAGAAATTTATTTTCTATTTTTTTATTAATTAGTTAATTTATATATATAAGATATTTACTAACTAAACTAAACTAGATAAAATAAGAGTAAAAGTTATAATGCAAATTATTAACTCTTTCTGACAATCACTTATACCAAATTCTACTATAAATAATTGATTAGTATTCAATATTTTATTAAGTAAACTATCTTTGAATACCTAATTAAAGTTGTTTTTGACATATATTTATATTTAAATAGTCTAGTTATATATCTTTAGATCTCTTATTCATTAAGATATTTTTATTAAATATAAAAATATTTTTATTCAAACTATCTTAAAATTATACTAATTAATCAACTTTTATATCTTAGAACAAAAAAAAACTTATTTATAGCTTTATTTTATTATATAATTTATCAAAAATGGCTAAAACTAATCAATTTATTGGCAAAATACACTTAAACTCTCTTGCAAAATTTCTTTTTTATTTTTGCAAATTTTTTTTTATTTTTTGAAAACTGTCTCTGGTTTGCCCTATTCAAACTTACCCAAAACAGAATTACTAATCAATATTATATAATTTATTAATTACAAATTTATATTTTTACAATTTTATACAACTTTTTTGTTTAATGTCAATCTTGATTTACAAATAAATCTGCAAAGTATCACATCTTTGTTTATTATATTCTTTTAACTGTTATGCCTCTTATTTATTATACTTCTTATTTGTTACCTCTTCATATTTGTTACATCCTATATCATTAACATCCTATTAGACTCAAGAATCTTGATATCAAATTTGTTTTTATTTTCAAAGTAACTATGTCTACATTAATTAATCAAACTCTAAACCAATATAATTTAGATTACTTTTTGACTAAATATGATGCCCACTTTGGTATAATATTTAAAAAAAATAATTTACAACAAATTAAATTTATCTAATTTGCCATGCATTTAACTAAATGCTATAAAAAAAACAAAATTTACTATTTCAAAGCATCTTATTAACTTTCTATTATTTAATGTCTCTGCAAAACTTATTATATTTTGTTTATATCTTGTTATTATAAACTTTTCTCAAGATTTACAACACTTCTTTCAACTTCTGGTTCTACTACTCCTATAGATATAACTTCAAATCTATTTAATAAAACTAAAGATACTATCTCTCAATCATCTGTAAACAAAATTTCTCTATTTCTATTTAACTATAATAACTTATCTGTTGCCAACTCTTTAATTATTACAGATCTTGTACCTAATGTCATAGCTATTAAAGCTTATATACAATATACCTATATCTGTATTAACTGTTATAAATCAAATATTTATATGTTTTTCTAAGTAATAACAAATTTTCTCTTAATTTTATTGCTAAAATCTTATATGTATATCCTACTTATTTTAACTGTATTTCTACTATTAAATTTGCTATTATCAAAAAAGAAAAAAAAATTCAAATCTTTAAAGAATTCTTTAAACTTTTTAAAAAAAATGATCTATTTAACAAAAACTTAAAATTCTATAAGAAACAA